AAAAAAAAAAAACCTTGTCTGAAATCCTGAGCGGCCTCACTGTCCACTGCTGCCTGTGGGAAGGAAATAACAATAAACAATAAAAAACCAGAGTGTGTGCAGTGGAACATTCCTGGGCTATTTTGTTAGACTGTGCAGCCTCCTCATAAGCTGGAGATATTTTAGAAACTAGTAGTCAGAGAAAATTGTAAACAGACAGGCGGATGCAGTAATAGCTTGTGAGCAAGCTGGAAAAATAATTGGTTAAGCCTTCCTACAGTCCTCGCTTTGATTTGATTTGATTACATAAATCAACCCTTTTCGTATTTTATATTCAGTTGTTTTATAACAATACAAGGCATGGCTAGATACACACTGGGCTAGATGGCATCTGGTTCACTTGGCATATCCTGTTGATTCCTCATTTGGGTGGAAAAGAACCGCAAAGTCTGGAGTAAAGCTAAGAGGCAAATCTACAATTATGACCATTTTTAATGACATTATTTGTAAAACCTTGCATGGATGTCAAATTCCACGAGCACACATCAGTTTCCCACAGCAATGTTCCCAAACTATTCAACCACTTGAGCTCACACTGCTAGATTTAGCCGTGTGTAGAAAAAAAAAAAAGACAAATGACAAGCCACACTGGTAGATAGCTAACAAGTTAAAGAAGCATGTCTTCCCTGTCATTTCTCATAAAAGCGTAGATGCGGTTGTTTTAAAGAAGTCATTAAATATAGGGGAGCCACTCGTGTACAACACAGGTGTGTGGGCGTATTTGATTTTCTTTTTCATTTTTTTGTCTTTGAAATCATCCCTGGAATATCAGATCAGATGATTAACCGAATAGTGTAGGAAGACAGGGGCACTGGTGGAGTAACCTATCAGATATGCTTGTCATTTCACAACACGGAACAGAGTTAACAGACACAGAAGTGTTGTGGGGCCAAATGTGATGTGTCGCTTGGCGAAGAGAACACGCATCTGGAGACAATTAGTGGATAAATGATTCGCTCGGCCCACGAGTTATCCTCGAAAATTGCGCCCCAAGGTTGATCAAGTCCCTTTTAGGCACCGTGAGTGAAGCAACACCTGGCATTTGAGCAGAGGTGAGAGATTTACTATGTAGCACACGAGTGTCTCAAAGCTCTAATTACGCCAACATCAGAATTACTGCAAATGCACAGTTTTATACATTCAAAAGCTGCCCATCAGTGAGGTTCCCCTTTGACTGAGGTCATTTTTGCCTGTTAGTGAGTCCTAAAAGTAATATTTTCTGAAAGCACTGAAAAATATCCAACAGTGCCGTGAGATTATTTCAACCAGTTTCAAAATGCAAATGGACTCATTTCAATATTTTTTTCACCTTCTGGTGCAGGAATATGCATTAATAAATCAAACTTACTGATACCAACACGAAATATTAACAAACCCTTGGAACGAATTGGAAACATGGCCATACTGAGACTGAGAATGTCATTCACGCAGTGGCAGATTATTTATAGAGCAATCAATCAATCAATCAATCAATCAATCAATCAATCAATCAGGCCAACTCAATCAGGCTTGTAGCAGATTTACCAGTATGGATCCATACTGATAAGCTGCAAGGATTTGCAGGGAGGGGAAAAAAACAAGCTATAGTCAGTGTGAGGTAATTTAGAAACAGTCATTCCACATTATGCTGCATGTCTACCAGACTGCAAAGAAAAGTGGAATTTTCAACTGTAAAACGCCTTGGTTAGTGTACACATCCAAGAGATCAATATCAAGCTTGTTTGTTTATGTTAAAGAAATTACTGCAGGGTATTTTTTCCTTTGCCTCTTCAAGATCAATATCTGTGTTACTTTTGGCTGTAAATATTTCCCCTAGTTTTAAAATAATACTTTTAGGACTTGATTCTGGTAAAAGAAAAACAAAACAAACAAAAATAAAACAACTCATAATAAAAATAACAATTTTGCTGTATGTTGGTGCTACACAACCACAGTTATGAACACCTTCTAGATGCAGAGCATTTGCATGTTTTACTACGTCTTTCATGGTGACTCATCATGGTGACTACCCAACTCTCACTGACAGCAGAACGGTTGCATTTTCTGGTTTTATTGTTTCTTACCTGCCAAAATCCACTACATCGTCTCCAGATAGTATATACAGCTGGCCCCGTGAGACTGGCAAGACAAAAGACTGAATCTCTGAAAGATGAGAATGATGAACCCTACACAGCAGAGTTTGAAGCCCCATAGCCACCAGTTGTCAGAGTTTGAGGGCTGAGTTGGTATCTGCTACATATTTTGTCCACAGAAGGGGCTACCATGATACAAAGTACTACAAAACTTTTTGTTCTTGTACAAAAACAAACATTTTTGTAGAAATCCTGCATTTTAAACAACAACTGATACAGAGTGAAAACTGCAGACTGTGCGCAAGGACCGACATGGATAAGGACTCTGACAGTATACATTTCTTGTAGAGGCTTTGAACATAATAATAGGCATGGCAGAAAGTTCTTTACAATGGCAGAACTTTGGCACGAGAAAGGCATTATAGAAGAAAACAATGGATATTTGACAAAGTCGGCATAGATGGTTCTCAAAACTAAATATCACTTTTATACATCAGTTCATAACAAACCATTTGGCACTGACTACTGTTCCCTTTGTTGGTGTAAGATTAGTGTTTGTTCAAATTATCTGAGAGAAACTCAAGTCACCGAGGAGAGGGGACCGATTGGGTCACACACACATGGAGGTAAGACGAAAGGGTATTGACATCAACAGAAAAACTACATCTGGTGTAAGTGTCACAATAGTTTTCCCTTCTGCACAGTTGTCAAGTGTGTCAGATGAGAGAGTGTGTGTGTCAATGTGTGTCAGTGTGTGTGCATACATTTTTTTTTTCATTAGTTTTTTTTTGTGTGTATGCGTATGTTTAAGTCCACTTCTACTGTGGACTAGTCAAATGTTGTGTCATAAAATTGCTCGGCTCTTCTGTCATTTTACATATATTACCAACCAAACCCGTAAGTCCTTCGATTACATCTCCCTTCAAAAAGTGAATGTCACAGTGAGGTGACACTGCTCAGGTATCTATATTTCCACAGGAAACATCTGTCTACATAAGCAAGTGGGTTCGAAAGGAATCCTGTTTGTTTCTTTGTATTTTTTTTTATTTTTGTTCCCCCCCCCCTGCTAAACTTAGTCTGTAACTAAGCCAGCATTAATTCAACCCTGTCTCCCCACTCGTGGTTTTTACTGAGGGGTGTAGTCCAGGTGTATTCAGTGTTCATGCCATGGTTTCCTTTCCTGGGAGTCTCCTGTCGTTAAACGTGTGCATGTTAATAACCTCTTCTGTCTTAACGATGACAGGTGGCTGAGGCTTTTGTTTGAGACGGCGTTGGCACTTTAGAGACACGCGCAGCTCGTCCATCATGGCACTGCAGAATGATCGCTGCAAGAAGGAAATAGAAAAGAAGAAGGAAAAAAAAAAGTTCAACCCATTCTTGAGATATACAGTCATACTGGATCATTTGTTCTTACTGTCTAAAAGAGAGGGAAAAGTATTTGCATTAGGAGGCGGGCAGAGTGGTTTTGGCACAATGAAACCGCTGGCTTTTAGCCAGGAGACTTGAGCGTAAGCCTGGTGTGGCAAAACGCCGATGACACCAGTGCACATTTTACATGCATTTATTTACATGGGCGACAGAGGTTAGTTAACTTTAAAGTGCAGCTGCAGGTCATTTTAACAGCTTGCACAAATGACCTACAGCGTTGTTTAATGAGGGAGAGCTGGTGATGGTCTTTGTGCCGCATATTCTCTTTTAACCAGTGTCTTCTTAATGGTAGCATGAGGTCCTTTCTGAGTATCTCCAAGGTATTGTTGTTGTTTTTTATTTTCCACTCATGTTTTTGTAATGGACCTGTCCATTACATTTCAGTATTCTTGGGTAATTGCCACAGTGTCCTTTTTTCACCACCAGGTGGCACCATCACTGGGATATTCTAAATTTAGTGACTTTAATTCTACCAGAATCAGTCGATTTCTACATAAATTCAATTTCACTGCTTTACCATGCGCATCCTCTCACCTTAATATGTTGTGTAACATGAAAATACTTTTTTATATACTGTACAATATGTTTCCTTTTCTGCCTTTTTCTTACTTGTGGTTCCAAAAGTACAGCAGGAGGTCTGACCTTCAGATGTAAAACCAGCTTTCAGTTTGAGTTCAAAGTCACACAGCCTTTTTACACGATTAAAAAAAAAAAGTCCTCCTTGATAAAGCTTATAGGTGGGGTTGGGTCAGGTGACCCTCGCTTAGTTATGCTGCTACAGACCCCAGGCTGCTCTTCCATCATCTACTGAACTCCTCCTTTCACTTTAACTCCCCATGCATATAGATGACAACTGCGTGTGATCAACTGTGTGTCTTTTTGCCCTGGTAGTTTCCCCGCTCTCCTCTCTGTCTCTGTATCCTTCGCCATCTGTCTCTGGCATTCAGATTTTGGATCTGGGGTTACTAAACCCACCAAGCGGCAATTGTTATTATTGGTTGTTTCTCAGTGTTCATCTTTTCTCTTTTTTTCCTTCCCACTGTCACCACATACACTCAAAGGGGAATTGCTGGGCTTCTCTACATTATTTTAAGCTTGAAAAAATTAGCCAAACTGAACAGTTTCTCCTCTTTCTTTTGTATTTATTGGCTTTACGTTGGTTTTACGACAATCATATGTATGAACGGTACTGCGCAAAAGTCTCAAGCTGCCCCTCATTTCTTCAAAGTTTGCTACGAAAATGGGAAATAGGTGCGGTGATTTATTGAAAAATGTGAAAGTCAATATTTGGTATGATCACCGTTATTCTTCACACAGCCTGAACTCTCTTAGGCAAGCTGTTTTGTAATTTCTTTATGCAGACTTCATGTATAGCCTCTTGAAGGACATTCTTTTTCACCGTGTAGACTGTTATTGTTCTCTCTCTACCTACTGATGTCTGAACCAAAAATTTCAAATTTGTATTCATCACTCTGTAAGACCCGTTGCCACTGATTTTCAGTCACATTGTGTGTAATTTGGCAAACCTCAACCTTTTCTCCTTGTTTTTCTTCTTTAAGAATGGCTTCTTGACAGCTGCCCATTTACTGTGACAATTTCTGATGAGGATTTAGTGCCACATACATCTCTTAGGTACTGGTGTAGATTTTGTCCTGTTTCCTTTGGACCTTCCTTTGATATGCCAAGTTTTCAGCTAACAGTTCTTTGGGAATAACCTCGTTGGTGCAAAAATACTATTTTATGCCTGTCAGACTGTGTTACATTTTGTATTTTTCATAAATTCAACTATAGAAATGTCAAAGTGCCTAAAGATGCAATTTAAATTTGGTTCTTTGCTAAGTTATCTGTTGTATGTAGACACAACACTGGTTAGGTGCCTCTTTTCTGCTTGTAGGATTCATAAGTCAGTGTTAAGTGAAAAAGCAACCACTGTCGAAAGAAAAACTTGAAAGACCTTCAGAAAGCCCAGAGTGCTGTTGTTCAAGATTACTTGGAAGCCACATGAAAGTCTGGCTTCTTAGAAGCAAACTATAAAAAATAAGGGGGGACTCATGACTTTTGCACAGTACTGTAACATCATTTGTAAGGATATAAATAAATAATAAAAAAGGATCTTGTGGTACTATTCTGGGAAAACAAAGGTCAACGTGCTCAGTTTTATTTTATGTGTACATGCGATAAAATAAACCATTGAGTCAGTTGATATCGTGTAACTGCGCAACAGAACATGAAGCATCTATTCATTTGCTTTTTCGACAGAATATTTTGGGAAAACAAGGCTTCATTTAAAGGGTTTGATATGTCCTAGATTCCCCCTTTAAATCGTCACTGTCACACAAACGTCTAAATAGCGTTTCACAGCCATTTGCACCCTGCCAAGAACGGGATTCTGGGAGAAACATTAAACACTTGTAATTTGGCATGAAAGTGAAAAACCTAAAGAGACAGCATAAAGGACAAAGCGTCCACTTCGGCAGATTAAATCCAAATATACTGCTACCCACTTTAAAACATCACAGTCTTATGCAACTTGTGTAATGTGAGCTTCTGTTGTCCCTGCATTATGTATGTGGTGTAAAATCCTATAAAATGTCAATATGCCCGGGCACCAACTTTGCCAAATCAAATTCTCATACATTCCTTTTCTGATTATGCAAAATGTAATTCAAATTCAAAGAGTGTAGGAGGGGAGAAGATAAAAAGAGGAGGGGGAGCATTAAAGTATGAAGCTATTATTTTTCTGTTTGTGTATGTGTGTAGGTGTGCGAGATGGATATCTGTAGGTGGCTTAGGGTGTGTTTTTTTTGCAACATTTTTTTACATATATTTGTCTGCCATATGAATGAAATATTTTCTAGAGTCTGAAGGAAGACTGATTACAAAAGCAGACAGGCAAGAAGGATAACAGAAAATAAATTTTGAAAAACAATGAGAAGGAGGGTTTAAAAAAAAAGAGAGAGAAAAAGCTCGTGACGTTAGGGTGGAGGACTCTGGCAGGGAGTAAAAAAAAAGGAGAGGCTTGCTGTCAGCATGCAAATTACTAGCACCTTGTCAGCCTAGAGACTCTGGCATTTGCAAATTATCTGAATATTGTGACCCAGTCTTGCAGCTCTTGATTAATGATAGCTAAGATGTGCTGTGAAACTTTTGCAGCCCTTAAAAAAAGCAAGAAACTAATTACTGTTGCAATAAAGTAACACGCTGCTGCGCTGTGCTAATTCTATAGACGTAAATAATTAACAGACGCTATCAAGAGGACTCTCACAATTATCGGGAAACATCACTGCACGAGTTAAAGTGCACTAAAATACATACTCCACACTGTGCGATGAATCATGTGCGCTCAGTACGAAAATAGAGCACAAACAGAACAGCCTGAAAAATATTCAGAAACGTAACCAGGGGGATAAAGAAGCTGTGGATACAGTGCACTCTATGTATACATGGGGAATTAAAATAGATGTCATCTCGTGCGACTATTTGTATAATACTATTATGCTGGTGTTTGTGATGAAGGAGCTGCTGTAATTGTTAATTTATTGAAATGATGATTCAATATAATATATGACTAAAAAACAACAAGAAAGTAAAACATTTTCCCCCATTTAAAATCAGCAAGAAAATTATCCATGCATAGACAGAAGTTAGTTTCGGAAAATGCCTGCTTGGTTTAGCAAATATTGACTGCTAAAAACTCACACAGGTTAAAGCACTGGGGGATTTCTGTTTCCACACCACAGGTATATAGCCATTATGAAGAGTGAAAGCAATTTAAGCAGCCAATTGTTAAAATAAAAACAAGCTTGGTCTGTAAAAATGCACTTCAGGGCTATAAGACAAATTTTCATTTCACTTTCATTTGATGTCTCTTGGGTTTGGTGTCTTGTTTTTACAGTTTGATTCCTAAAAAAAGAGGTAGACCGCTTTTGAGTTTTGGTTTTGTATTTTTCTTCATTTTTTCTTTATATTTAGATTCTCAGGTTTTAGGTTCCTATCTACTTCTGTTCGTGGTTATTATTTGGGTCGTATTTAATTCTGTGAGTTCCTGTGTATTCCTGCTTCCCTTGTGTTTCTGTATGTGTTACCTCCTGTTTTTAATTCGTTAATCTTTTGTCTCATGTGCTCTAGTTTTCAGTTTTACTTCCTTTTAAGTGTTAGTCATGTTAGTTGTCCTCAGCTCTGTTTCCACCCGTTCCCCATTTCTATTCTTCTGGTGTATGTTGATATTGTCTGAGCCTCCCTCTGTTCATTTTTGCGTCACCCCTCATGCTTGTGCGTTTCCTTGGCTCTGTGTTCCATGAGATTTGGATCTCCTTCTCTTTCTTTGTGAATTACCAGCATTAAGACTGTGTTTTGAGATCACTTATGACTCCCCGAGTCCTTCATTTAGATCCCCATCCTGCCTGCCACACAGCCATACCTTGACACAAACACGCTACAGCAGAAGCCTAAAATCTCTTCTCTAATAGCGCCTGTACCTTTTCCAGCTGGGCGTTCTGCTTAGACTTGTAAAGGACCTCCCCCACAGCCACAAACACTGACAGCACAAGTCCCGCAGCCAGCACGATGAAGATCCCACCGATGTTCTGTACTCCCAGAGCGCTGGCCTCTTTGCTCTCCTCCTCGGGACACCCGTTGCCTCTCCACCACTTCTCCTTCATCATGTGCAGCTTGCCTTCCTCTTGCAGCTGCAGAATAGCTATCGTGATCTTGTCTCTGTATGGAGATCCTGCGAATGCAAAAAGCGTATCGTGAAACTGGGAAACACAGATAATACTCATGTGCCTAGGATCGTCATTGTTGTGTTAGTGGGTGTAAGAAACACATTCAGGCTTGCATGTGATCATATAACCTGTCATGTTATTGTTAGCCGCTTAGAGAGAGTTTTTTTGTAAGTCCTTCTTCAAATCCCACTAATCCCCCATATTCACAGAGCTATTCCAAAATTCTCACTCCTCTCTGCAGTGTGTTTATTATAATGCACAGGGAGTTGGCAACAATAACTTGGCTTGGGGGAGCAGAGCTGCTGTCGATTCTCACAATTTAGCTACTGTTTGCACACGCTTTCATATGACAGAAATAGTCCCGATGAACAGAGGAGCCCAGTGAGGGGTACATATGTGTTTGGGATTATATGTGTATATTGATGATAGGGTTTCTGCATTGCTGTTTTTTGATGCATGTTGAGCAAACTCAAATCCACAGAAAGTGGGAAGGCGCCAGAATTAGCGACGAGGCATTAAGGCGCAGCGGGCGCTGGCCTGATCAAAGCGGGAATAATCGTCGCAGGGTAGCCGAGTGGGGTCATGTTCCTCTCCCATCCACAGCGTGTGCGACACAACACACGGCTGGGTTGATCCAGGAGCAGCGCACACACACTTTGCTTCAACCGGGCCAAGAAAGATTAATTCTTACTGTGAGCGTTCATGTTTCATGTTTTTCACTGCTTTAAGAGCTTGTTAGTGTATTTATGCGATTATGGGACTCATGCATAATGAAGCCTGGGTGCACATATTCATTTCAGGCATTTGGCTCGTGTGCAAATTAAGAGTGACTTAAAAGAAACAAAAGAAATGTTAAAAAATAAAAAAATAAAACAAAATAATAATTCAAGGACAACAGAAATGGTTTTAAAAAGGAAGAGAACATTTCGTGCCAGAGCTCCAAAGGAAATGAACGGAGTCAGGCTCCAGGTAACAAGTACCATCATGCTGTTTGTTGATCTCATACAGTTTTGCCTGTCAGCCCTGTTAGTTGAGTCTTCCTCTGTCTCATCTATCATTAATCTAATGCCATCCATCATCCTTTCATCTCCAAATCTCTGTGTTTAGACTAACAAAAGAGACATTACTAGAAAACTGAAAATTACACAATGCCACTGACTTTGGAGCAGCATCTGTTTTTTTTTTCTTCTCTTATTTTGTAAGCTCGTGTTTTTCTCCCTGTGCTGAGCTTATGAGTACACTGACATGATAAACCAGAGCAGACTTGCAACACACGGTATATTTCGTGCATTTCGTACAGTTGATATGCAAAGCGCGTAAAGCACAGCCCCTTAGATGCAATTGACTATGTATGTGGGAAACATATGCCTGCTTCATTTGAAAAATCAGAGATCTCTCTAGTATCTGGGTCCCCTGATTCAGGCTCCTCTCATATTTCAAATGATTAATGATGGCTTAACAAAACAGGCCTTGGATAAATGCTAATAGGATGGGTCCTTAGAGAGGAGGATATGGAGAGCGGGGCCTGGGCGAATGGGAAAAGCGCCGTGCTTGACACACTGTGCATACACAACTACCTGACAGATGTTCAACACCAGAGATCATCCATCACTCCTACACTGTCTGGCCTCAAGTATTAATGCGATCACAGTTTAAGTCGATAGCAGTGGATGAAGCATTTGTGATTTGGGAAACCATCTAGCACTAAAAGGTTAAAATGTTATTATGTCTTGCTCTGCTTTATTGCTGTAAAAGCCCTATAGGGAATAAGCTGCTAAACATTGTTCAGGAGGCCAAAAGGTATGAGCCGGTGGCTAACGTGATAGCTGAAGAGCTCACATGGTTTTGAAAAAGGACACAAGGAGAGGGCCACCATCAAAAATAATAATAAAAAAGAAAATATAAATTTTTATATTCTGCCAAAATTACTTCTGAACTAATAAAGTCATCGAGATTCCGATCTCAAGATCTTTTTGCAGGGCATAATCGGCTTTATTTCTTTAATACTGAGAAAATAATGTAAGGATTAGACAGAAAGAAGAAAGTGGGAAGTAATATTCTTCAGAGTGAATATTTATCTCTATATAAATGCAGAACCATTTATTGCTGAATTAAAGTGATGTGTTCCTATTTTATATATCTATCCATCCATCCATCCATCCATCCATCTCTATATATATCTATCTATATCTATATCTATATATATCTATATATCTCTATATATCTATATATATCTATATATCTATATATATATATATAAAATATAAAGTATACTACTGTGTGAATAAAAAATAAAAAAGAAGTGATCCATGCTCCAGTCTCTATGTGTCCATTTCAAGGACATCAGTCTAAGTACTTCAGCACTTAGGGAGCCACAGTGGGCCTATATTTCACAGCAGCCCCTCAGCTTTGTTATAGCCACGGCAATCACGGCATCCCTGCAGATTCATAACCGCCCCATACTCATCAGCGGCAGCCCGGTCCAGATGCGGATGGCCAAAATTAATCCTCCGTATTTTGATGGCCTTCATATCATTCATGATAGATGTGACCATTACAGTTGGTAGCAGTGTTCTCCGTGGCCTCGTCAGGACCACTCTAACCTCTGTGACACTTGAATGGGAACCATCAACAGCTTTCAGTCAGGGTCCTTGGGAACGCTAGAGCTGTGAGCTGTGCATTGATTAACCCTGGCAAACAATGCTTTTAATGCACCAAACCTCTTATGATTGTACTTGTTTTTGTGATACTTTTAGCTCATCTGCCTCATTCCTGGATAATGATGGTATAAAATGTCAGAATACAAAATTTTTGATGGGAGCTGGGTCAAAGCGGCTTCTGAAAACAAGCTCCTAGAGTTTGTTTTACACTCTCTGAAGTGCTTTTTAGTTGTGGTTTAGTGCTGAAATTAATGCCGGTGTCAAGTAAGTCAAAGGGAATTGCACTGAACTGATACTCACAGTGTTGCCTTACGTGAACATAAAATAAAATGAAAACAGACCATTAAAAGTATTTGTGAAGAGAGTTTGATACACGATTCCTGCCTCTGAAACAATCTTGTGAGAAAATCACCGTGAATAGAAAGATCTTGCCGAAGCAGTGAGCCATTTTAACCTCATCCATAAGCTCAACCTTCTAGGCATTTCACTTTTCATTAAGCTACACCTTTTACACCTCACTGTGTCTAACCATTATACCCGTGACCTCGCTGATAAAGATCAACCTTTCCCTTTTCAAAGCTTTCCATCATTCCCACAACACACCTTAATGCGTCACACAGTATCTGCAGCATCTGCAGACTTAATCCGAGTGGCTTATAACACAGAGGGATGCAGAGGTCGTTTACCCATAGGTGTTCCCACGCCGTAGGCTCTGGAATCTATGAGGCCTCCAATCTGCGTGAGGTTGCAGTTGCGCTGGGTGACAAACTCAATGGTAGTGGACTCCATGAGGAAGGCATAATCTGAGGTAAGGACACGCTGGATGCCTTCCTCCACATTCTTTACCATCACAGATTGCCTCCTGCTGTTCATAAACTCCCACATCTTGTCATAGGTAGAGATTTTTGTCTTCTGCAAGTAACCAGAGAGTGGGATCTGAATGAGACTCCAAGAAGTATTAGGAGAAAATATCATATCATCGTTTGCACAGTGTTTGGGACCTATTATGTTCATTTTCAGCTGCACATTTATTCTTATTCCTAGACTATAATAGCTTTGCATGACTCACAGTTCAAAAATAAACCCTATTTATTTTCTTCTGAGGCTTTGAGGAGCTGCTAAGTTCTTACGGTCCTCCCCCTTTACAGCCACCTTCTGTTTAAGGTTTTTATTGGCTTCCCGTCACAAACAGAAGACTGCAAATTGATGAGGCTGCTGTGCTCGAAGCCGGGTGCCTGAAATGACCCTCAAGGGTATCTCTTCTCTGAGACATTACGCATGTCCAAGATAAAAAAAAAAACAAAACCCTGTCTGTAGCAAAACATGAACCTTGAGCTTTTTAGCTGTTTGTGTACAATTTTGGCCATGTTACAATGATCATCCAACACTGTCACAGAAACTCAGGAAAAGCATCATAGGTCCATTTTAATGTCTGAAAAACGATATGATGAAATGATGATATTAATATTTCTATGATGAAAAGAACTCAAAGTTTAAATCCTGGCGATTTAGATGAGCCATAAATACGACTTTTCTTTTGTTATAAATCAAGCTCTGTTTTTTATAGCTTGTATTTTTCATTCTCACATTATATAAGTACCTTTCAGAGTGGTTTTTTTTTAATGGTGGAGGCTCTTCATGCTAAATTGAAATTGCCTAGCTTTGCACAAATGATTCACTGGAGGCAATTCATATAATCTGGTTTATGTTTAATTTATTGTTACCAGACACTTCCTAATGCTGCTGCATCAGGCGCTTTCAACCAGGGAATTACTGTATGTTTTTTTTGCTGTGAAACAGTCACATCTTTTTGATGAATGTTGCATTTATAATTTAAAACAGATATATGTACGACATGGGCACAAGGACTGGGCCAACTACATACCTACTGCAATGGCTCAGCCTTGGAAACCCATGTCAAGAAGCTCCTGGTACACAGTTTCTGTACTGATGTTATTGCCACAGGAGGTATGGAGCTCTGCCATTACTGAGTCAGCAGGGTGTTGGCAACTTTTAAGCACTATGCGTCTTTGCACTCTGCGAGCTGTAACTTTATGTGGTCTAACACTTTGTGGCTGAGTTGCTGTGGTTCCAGAGTGCTTCCACTTTGCAATAATGCCACTTACAGTTGAATGCTGAATGTCTAGGAGAAAAGAAATTTCACAAAGGCTTCTAAAGGTGACATCCTATTACACTGCCACAGTTGAATTCAGTGACCTCCGGACCATTCTGTCACAAATGTTTGCAACGACAAACTGTATGGCTAGGAAAGTAATTTTCCTGCATTTTCACCAGCAAATCAGTTATAAATGTGGCACTACTTCTTAAGAAGATAATAAACTCTACTGTTCTCTGCAGTTGCAACCCATGCATGATGTTTGCAGGTGCAATATTCAGTGGATTACTTTGACTACTTTAAAAAAAAAAAATGGCTGCACTTTCAACACCAGTTGCTCTTCTGCATTTTTCTGACAAATTAACTGCACATGGAGTGTTTGCTATTTGCACAGCAAACACAGGTGTTGGAAAATCAACCAGGAGAGAAATCTTAAAAGGATTATAAATGTGATGTGTGAGAAAATAACATTATTCACAGAGCCACTGCACAAACATCGTCGTAGATCCAGCTACCTTGAAGAATGTCATTGTGGCACCGTCCTCCACCACCCCATATGGGATTTTAGTTTGTTTGGCCAGGTCATCGGCTGAATCTATGGGCGATTCCATCCTCTCCACAGTGAGAAAAGCAGCCAAATTGGCTGTATAGGAGGAAATGATGATGAGGGTGAAGAACCACCAGATGCCTCCCACTATTCGAGTCGACAGGGCCTTGGGCATGAGCTCTGACCCTGGGGTGAAGGAGGCGGCAAGAATGAAAGTTAAACAGCAAGATGCATTCATTTCAACAAGTCATTATCATTCCAATCTTCTCATTACGTTTATTTTTAACGTGCAAAAACCAGAGAGGAGTGTTTGGGACCTATTATGGATTAACGCCTTTAGAAACGGGCTTGTTTCGAGAACTCATCAAGTTCTCAGCGCAGGCAGATGTGCCACTCGCATCAAGATTAAATCACTCGAGAGAGCTCTCAAAACAAGCAGATTGTTGGATCTCAAACAAGTGAAATGATCTCGTCTCAGTCACAAGGGAGTGCTTTAAATAATGCAAGAGTTACCGGAAAGTGCCATTCAAAGAGAACAAGGTGTTTGCATAAATCTCATATATCAAATTAAACACATCAACATCGATGGTGCAGTACTGTGTGGAGAGGTAACAGGCTGGTTAGGCCAGAGAGTCATGTACCCAAGGTAACCTCACATCCTGACTCCACACCCCACTGATCTCTAGGTGCTGATAGGCCAGAGGCAAGAGAAGAGGACACTCAGATATTAGTGGCATTGCTACAGTAACAAACATATTTACAGAATGCACAGTTAAGCGAATGTTATTTTAAAGTCTTTTTCAGCTAATGAGCTCAACAACACGTCTGTTCGCAAACAGAATCGCTTTATGCATTTTATACAAGAATCACTCTCACTCTCATTAATTTAACTCAAGTGGACTAAAGGCTGTAAAACTGTTGTTTTTAGAAACATGTTCCTAGTTTACATACTCGGGTTTAGCCCATGCTCCCATGAGCCTAAGTCTGTTACATTTATTTTAAAATATATGCACATTTATTCTAATTTCTGTGTGGTCTTTTAGAGGTCTCTCTCTATTGCCTCTGGCTTAGTTTAAAAAAAAAACAAACCCAACCCTTAGGGACCGTGGGGTGTAGAGAGCTCCAGCTCCACAAAGCAACTGTAGCCACAGGCTGAGGCAACTACCTTGCTGCATGAGTGCCCCAACTCCAAACCAGAAACTATTGAGCAGCGTAAAATTGTTTTCCACTACATCTGAGTCAGGGTTGCATGGATGCGGGTTGTACCACTCATAAGGACTAAACCTATAAGGGAAAGAGCAGAAAGACACACATGTCAGCACAAAAGGACAGAACAGTGTTTTCAGTGGTACAGATTAAATGGCTGATAAGACATGAATCTCAAAACATTATCAGCAGGAAGAAAGAGTGTGAATGTGTAGAAAACCTGTTTTGTGGATCAGCGCTTCTGCGGAGACGAAAGCAAATCGTTTCAGCTTTTGCTGAGATTTTGCCGAGACTTATTGGCATATTCAAGTGGTATCAGTTTATTGTAAGAATGGATCAATAGACTGGAATAACGCTGTCACTGGTGATAATGTCCCTGTGTGTAATGATCTTTGGAGCTCATTTCAATTCACTTAGTCAGGAGCCTTTAAGTGTTTCCCCCAGCAGCTACAATTATCGTTACTCTGCGGATACCATTTTATTTTAACACCCCAACGTGGGACTTGTGCTCTTCTTTTTTTCTTCTGGTTTCCCAACAGCAATCTCTGTTCCTCTCCTTTTCCCTTTTTCTCACAATCCCCCACATCACATCCCCTCACATCCTCCTATACCATTCTCTTCCCGGCAACCCACGCTTCATTTTTTTTTCTCCAGATTGTTTTGCTTCCCCCATGAACCTCCTCCTGCTGAACACGCTGCCCGCCTTGGCTGATTGTCAGTGTCTTCGGGTCACTTGTGGACATTTCTCATTTATTATCCTAAGCAAAAGTGGCATGGCATTAGCACAAGGTGATTGGGTTAGTGTTAAGCATCAGGAACTGATTGAGTTTGTGCTGAAGTGGCTGATAGAGGGAACATTGCTTATGCAGAGTTGAGGGGCCTGACAGGTAATGGTGTTGAGAAGCCTTTCCCCGATATACTGCATGCTAATAAGCCTGTAGGCAGAGTCTTAAGGTTTTATACTGTGTGAACATGTGATGCCATTTGTCAGCTGTGCCTCTTAGACAAAGAAAGGGAATAAATGTGTTTATATAGCATATATCGTATATGTGTCAGAACAGATTTGTATAGATTTAAAGTGACCATATGCTCTTAGGGGACCCAAACTGTGCCAAAAAAATATCTCACTGTAACAGCCAAAGACTTTGGTTTTCCTACAATTTGCTTTCCGTCTGTACATATGAGTGCCATTTGGAGCACGCTAATTACTGTTCTTATTTTACAAGCACTGGGAACATGGCAACATTTTTGTCACAATGCCCTTCCTTTACAGCTATTTTCCATTCAGTGAAAATCATCTGTGTGGACATGGCTGTGATGGCACGCTATAATTCTTCATGTCAACACCATCAGGATGCCTGATTTATTGGAATGTCAACGAGCTCTGTCTCCTTGGTATCACAGGCAACTGAAACAACACAATGGCCTTGCGGAGCTGTTCAGAATGCAGTGAGCGCGCTCGCGTGTTTTTATGTAGTCGCATGCACTTATGCCTGCGTGCATCAAGCGTCTGGCGCATAAATATGCCTTTACGTCTGTGTGGGTGAGTTTTGCATGTGGAAGCAACTGGGTATTTGCATTGGCTGCACCGATTGCATCTCAAAGTCAAACATGTTTTCTGATTATTTCTTTACGTTTTTGTACACAGACAATGCACGTAATCGCTGTAGCCCGCAGCCGATCGTAGAACACAACAGATGTATGTAGGTTGCTGGTGCAGATTTGATTGGACAGTGTTTGTTTCTCCCAGTGTCTACATGTGTATTCTGTATGTACCAGGTTTGATGGCTCCTCTGTATGACCTTTGTCTGCAGCTGGCCCGTATTCCTGCAGGCCGTGTTCTGCACACCGATCAGCAGGAGGAAGAGGATGTGGAACACGAGGACGTAAGGTCACCTCCTCACATCCAGCACAGGGGACATGTCGAATTGCACACGGAATTCTAAAAAGACGCTTTCCCTCTCTCTCCCTCTCCGTTCCCCTACTCCTGTCCCTCTTCCCCTTCGCTTGTCCCCGGCCACAATAACACAAAACGCGCGCCCTCCATTAGCTGTCTGTTCAATTCAATTACTTTGCCCGGCTTTATAGATCTGTTGCCTTTCTTGTCTCAGGCCAAGTGAAGAGGTTGTGTTTGGTGTCTTAAAAAAAAATCACAGACATCTGGAAGTTGGAATGTAAAATTACAAGAGCCTGCAATTCATGTAAACACGGTTTAATACAATTTATATAATCTATTCTTGTTTGCAAGTGGACATTTTCTACCATGAAAAAGGGTTTTGCGAGCTGAAATAATACCATTTGTTTTGTTAATAAAGGGAGAAATCAATTCAACCGCAAACAGAGCTGGGAGGATGCACTGAGTGATATGTATTTCTCTGGAGCCTGAAATACGATAGCTTATTTAGGAAAAAGAAAAAAGTGTGTTAATGTGTGGGATGCAGTTCAACGATGTACTGTTTAGTGTTTTATTGTGCAAACTTGGACTTCATAAGCTCACAACTCCTGCTATATTTGAGAAAGAAAATAATATACTCTGCATGTGGAGGATCGGCCAATCATCCGGTGGCCGCGCAATCAATACTGTAATTATGAGGGAACCAGATCAGCAAGCTGTAGAGAACACCGTGCTTAAGATTTAAACTTTGCTGGATATTTTTGTCACATAGAGTGACGCAAAGGACTCTGTATTGCTATTGTGTGCAAAAATGGCATGATGCAGATATACGCATTATAATTTCATAGAAGCAAAATTAGAAATATCAGATCTCAAGGTCATTTTTATCGCAACCAGAAGAATATCAATAGGATTGCATGCTTTTTACTTACCATGGAGAAATGTGGGAGCAAATAACTATGGGTTTAATTTGCATATTCTGAACTAACTTAGGTGACAGTTGCTGCTTTCCTCTCATGTGATCATTTTGCCAGTAACATTTGATGAAATGTGTGTTAAACCAAAACCTCTCAGGATCAAAGAAGAAGAAGAAAAGCCCACACACACATCATAATGCGTTGGTCATGCATCTGGGGTTTTTTTTCTTCGGGGGATAGGTCGATTAAAATATTGTAGGAAATGTATTTGTACAGTATCAGCAGTGTACCTTAGATTACTGCACATTTCTTACAATAAATATCAGTTTGCTGGTTTTACAGATGCTGATGCTTGTGCAAATATGCCTGAAATATTGCTCTATACTTATCAGGACCATAGTAGGATGTGGACCATGTTTAAATCCATTATTGCAATTATATTTTGGTAAAATGTGAACTTTTCCAAAACATTCTAATGTTGGCAAAAATGCTGCCACGGCCCTTTCTTATATGTTTACTGCCGATTTCATATCCTTTTGTTTCAGCACACGTCTTCATATCACAGAAGTCATCAACTGCTGCATGTTAGTCAAAGGAGGCAAGCAGGAAGGGGAGAGTGAAGTCAAGCAACGGAAGCAAACAGGGGGGTTGACATGTTACCTGGCTATGACAAACAGCACACAACTGACACCCAAGCAAGCCAGCAGAATATACATCCAGATATCAGGCGAGAGGGGGTTGAGGAAGGAGAAGACCCCAGGATTGGTGCCGTTGGGCTTGCGGTACAGGATACTTATCCCCAGCGTCATGAAGGGCTTGGAGAAGTCGATGACCTTCTCTCTGACGTAAGTGATGGCCAGAGGAGCAACTGCAAGGTCTGCTTTCTGCAATGAGAAAACAGCGGCGACGTCAAATAGGGGGATGGGTGTTTGTTCACCAGTAGAAAAAAAAAAATCCCAGCCAATTCAATTAAGATCTGATTCCTGTCAGCAGCTGCTCTGCTCAATATGTACAGGAGGCAGAGACGTGACATGAGGGAAAAAACGTAGCTAGGATCATTACTTCGACTAGATTATTAGGTGGGAGGCTGAGTTGGTCTGGAAATTACAGGTTATATGTCTGATCCTTTTTTATAAGGGCCAACAATCTTAGGATTAGATTAATTTTCAACAAATCAACCTCAAGTTGCCTCAGAATAGAAAATTAGCCTTCTGCACAGTTCAGCACTTGCTCTGTAGTATTTTTGCATAATTGCTCCAAGCTGTAACTTGATGTAAAAATGTATTTATTTATTTTTTTTTACAGTTTCTAGATTTTTTGAAGATTCTGTTTCAAGCAGCCAAAGTCGCTTTTTGCTAGCAAGCGACCAATCTTAGCAGGGGGAAAGATTTCAGGGCTTTTTGCTATAATTTTCATCATAAGAAGTCATCTATATATCTGAGGCTTAGAAAAGCTTCCTATACAGCACCAAATGTCATAATTGTCAGATAGCTTTCTATGGTAATACACAGTGTGGAAGCAGAACTGTAATAAATAATACAAACGGTCACAATAAATAAATAAACCCTAATAAACAATGAAAATCAAGCAAGTCAATTAAACTCCAGCAACTGCTAAATTGCTTCTCTGTAAACACAGATATATTTGCATATGAGGACAAAGAATCTATAAGTGAGAGACACAATTTTTGACGCTAAAAGGCTTCTGGTTTCCATTTGTAGTTCATTTGTAGTTCGATTAGCGCTGACCAATCACAGCTTTGGCTGCAGCCAGCCTGCTTTGGCTGCATGAAGGCAAACAAAAGGACTTGCCTGATAAAATGTTAAACTCACTGGTGATAATGACATAGTCTATTGCTGGATTTTAAAAATGCATTAAAATGCACATTCCCTCGGTATCGGTTATCCCTTTTCCTAATTCTTGCTGGCTGCAGTGGAAGCAGGGAAACATTGATCACTGGGTCCAGAAGTTTATTCATCAAACAATAGCAGTTAACTTGTGAATATGACCTAAGGGTAGCCACTGTAGGCTACTGGTCATATCAGGCCAAGTAAAACTTTATCTTTTTATACTCCCACTGTCTAGCCTACACAAAGAGCAGACAGCATTGGAAGCATACTTGTGTGCTGGTGCGTCTTCGCTTCTCTGACATTTCTTTTTACTGTGCTGAGCTACTTTGTGTGCTTAAACAGCTCTAAGTATGTTTAACTTAGAGCTAATAAATATTGATAGTTACTGAAAGGCAGGAAGGAAAGAAGATATACGAACTGAGTCTATAAAAGGATTGGCAGCACTCCGAAAACGAGAAAACGGCACATAGCTACATTGGCAGGTTACTTGCTTTTACAGCCTATTACATTTTGTTTCACAGAGGCTTTATCTGATCAATATCCTGTCTTTCCACTAAGCAGACCAAGCACGGTTGTCGAGGTCTGTGTCGACGCAACACGTAGTTGCATTTCTGAGGAGAAGCATTTTAAGCTGTGCTGTAGCTTTGATGCAAAAGTATAAATCAATCTTGAGGCCGCAGCACCAGCAAAACCCAGGAGTTAACCTTTTTTTTTACCCTTATATTTGAAACTGAAAGACTACATAATTTGGTCTCTCAAAGTTTCAGATGCCACAAAGAAACTCGACACAGTAAGAGGTCCTTTTTTGTTAACACTGTAATCTCATATTAAAGACACGTGCTTGTTCAGTAGCAATATTTCAGCCTGTTTCCATTTCAAAGAAGAATTTCAAAGATTTATTCATTCAGACAAAGAAGGACAAGAAGGAATATGGCAGACTGCTGTGCCTAAGTGGAAAATAAATTTTGCCTTTTAGAAATAAAATATTCAGACTGTACCAGCAGATGAAGACACAAATGACTTAATAATGAGAAGATTTGTTTTTTAAAAAGTCCCATTTGAGCATTTAGAGATTCAATTCTTATTGTTTTGAATCAGCTTGCAATGTGGAGTAGCTTTATTAAAATACATGAAGAAAAATTAGTGGACCATTATAAAATATGATTAATAGAAAGCAGAAAGTGTTTCGCTTTAATTATTATAATAGTTTTTATTCTAATGACTGAGTGTTGTCTTCTCCCTGGTGAGTGCCGACTCACGTGGTCCATGAGCTCCCGCACCATGCCGTTCCACTGGCCTGTGCTCTCATCCAGCGCACCGTACTTCCCATCTTCTACTAATCGAACCTCATAGCGGAAGCCCAGGATGGAGGAGAGTTCCCTCAGCAGGTCGATACAGTAGCCCTCAAAGCGATCGTTCCCATATAGAGGCTTGTCTGACTTCTTAAACATCACATATGGCTCCTCCTGTACAGGGAAAACAAACTGCTGTAGGAGTGCAGAAGTCTGTGAGTTTTGTATTATATATTTTTCAGGTGCAGTTGAGGCTGTGAGTGTCTGCTGTTAGTGTTTTCATTCGGCCGTGTCTACCAGTATGGTGGATACACGCAGGGATTTGTTAGCCAGAGAATCAGTGATGTTGGACGTCTTGCTTTTGTGAGTCTCTGTCATATTTAAACCGCTGGGAGGATCCCATGTTCCAATCTGTTGAAACAATTCAGAGTCAAGTTTATATCCTCTTGTCTACAGATGGGAAATGAAACACTTCAAATCACCCCCCCACTTACATTTGGTACTTATGGTCATACTAAAAAGAAAGTACACCCTCTTTCAGTTCTAACTTTTTAAAAAAAATAAATAAAAAGGGACTGAGCTATTGCAAAACCTCAGTTCTTCTCTTTTTTAGCCACTCTGGTGTAGATCTGCAGCTGTGCTTGGGATATTGGCCTGTTGGATGACCCAATTTCAACCAAGCTTTAGCTGTTGGACAGATGGCCTCACATTTGACTCTAGAATAATTTGATACACAAGGGAACTCATGGTCGACTAAGTGACTGCAAAGTGCCCAGGTCCCGTGTCTGCAAAACAAGCCCAAATCATCACCCCTCTGCTACTGGACTCGACAGCTGGTGTGAGGTGTTTGTGCTGATATGCTGTGTTTGGTTTTCAACAAACATGGAGATCTACATTATGGCCAGACATCTCCACTTTTATCTGATCTGTCCGAAGGACGTCGCTCCAAAAATCTTGCAGTTTGTTCAGACGCAGCTTTGTAAACCTAAGCTGTGCTGCCATGTTAATTTTAGAAAGAGGAGACTTTCCCCTGAAATCCCTTTAAACCAAGCCATTTAGTCCGTTTAGTCTTTCTCTAATTGTAACGTCACGAACTTTAGGATTTAACATGATAACTGTGCTGTGTAGAGTCTGAGATGTAGCTCTTGGGTTTTTCTATTTTCTCTGAGCATTGCATCGTGCGATCTCTCTGTGTGGATTTGTTGGAACGTTCACTCCTGGGAAGACTGGCAACTGTTTTGAATGTTTTCCACTTGCAAATAATCTTTCTCATTCAAGAATGATAGACTCCAAATCATTTGGAAATGGCACAGATTGATGGGCAGCACCAACTGCTTCGTTAGGATTATTCCTAATGTCTTTTCTTCACGGAGAAAGCTCCAGAACAGCAAACAGCCAAAACTTCTTATTTTATAGAGGTGCTCACACTTACTGATGATCAATTAATCAAGTCCATTTGATTATCAGCACTTGGCTGCTCCTTACCTTCTTAATCCCTGTGGAAGCAGTGACAATGTACTTAGTTTTTCACACACTACTTTTGCATTTTGGCTTAATTTTAAAAATAAATAATAGCACTGTGTAATATTTAATGTTTTGTAGATCATCTGATGTTGTATCATTTTAAGACTTTTAAGTTATTTTTTAACCATGTGTATTTTTTTTATAATGCGATTCCTCAGAATCGAAAGAGGGCTTACTTTATTTTTGCCATGACTGTAAGCACGAGCTACACCAACGAGTGACACACCTTTTCCAGCCCCTCCTCCTTCAGACTGATGACATCCAGGTCAAAGTCAGTTCTCAGTCCGTTGGTCTTGTTAAAAAGGACACGTCCTGTCAAACCATCCCAGTGTGCCTAAAGATAGAAATACACAGCACGATGAACTAAAATCCTCAGCTCTGAGCGCAGTCATTCCATTAACCTTAAGACATTGCCTTTCTCAGCAATATCAATCCAACCCCTAACCATAAAAGTTTTTCTTTCCCAATTATGAATTCCATCTGGCTCTCCCCTTACTGTCTATCTCAACAACATAACAAGAAACAATAAAGCAGCGAGAACAGAAGCAGGTTTGACAGGTAAGAGTTCATTATGCATGTGGTTCATTGTGCTTGAAGTTTCACTTCAAAGCCATTGGAGGAACAGACGGGCATGGGGAGTGATAGCAGACACAGGAGGGGGAGGAAGCACCAGCTACTACAATGGCTCATTCTGAAAATTACCTGCAATGATACCATCCAGAGAATGAAAGAGCTTTGTAGAACAAAGCAAATGGCTGACCCTGACTACAGTTAAGGAGGCATGCAGAGCCTTTGATATAAACACGGGTGGAGATATGCACTGAGAAAGTGTGGTTGAAAGACAATGGCACAAACAACAAAAAATGTAGTTACTGGATAATTCTGCGGATTCATTTTTTTTTTTAAAATAAAGATTATTTAGACTTAATGATTAGATAATAAACTTATTTAAGATGCTTATATGGTTTCTGTGATAAATGACCACAGCTTTCTGGACCAATAAAGGTTGATTGGAAAGCTGCACTGAAACTGTATCACATGCGTTAACTAAATAATTACAGAGATGCACACATAAAATGCTTGCAAACATGACTGCACTAATCCATATAACACAATAAGACAGGTACAATGTTCAGTAGATCCCACAGGTCAAAGGTCAAGCTGGAGTGCACACTGAAAACAGTGACCTCATACCTCTTTGATAAGGTTGATGAAACGCCCTCCAAAGCGCCACGGCTTGTGGCGATTACACTGCAGAGAGCTCACAGTGATCTGCTGCGACTGCTGCACTGCCACCGCCACCACATGCACGGCATCATACATCAGGGCTGCATCGGTCTGCAAACAGGAGGGTAATACTATTAGACATTTTATAAGACCACTTGATACTTCTGTCCACACAACCTTTCATCTCCCCATTAATTCACCTGTGCAAGGACATAAGAAACTGTGTGAAGTCTCAGATGACTTGCTTTAGTCATAAGTCACTACAACATGAATTAGGAGTAGAGCCAGCAGTAAATGCCCCACACAAATGGCACAGTGTCTCAGCTTGTTAGTAAAAATATCCAACCACTGTCTGAGGCAATCAGAAAGCTCTGCCAGGGAAAGTCTCTCAGTGGAAGGGCGCCACGTCAGTGTGAAGACTAATGGTTCCTGATGGGTGTGCCTGTTCCCCCAGAGAGAGGGAGCGCAAAACGGGCACCGGTGCAGACAGGACGACTCTCTCACTGGCACACTCAGTGTAACATGCTAAGTACAAAGGACAAAGGGTTGCACTGAAAAACACCTAAGACAGCTATGCATATAACCCTCATAATAAGTCATCAAAGGGCGTAAACGCTGGAGCTGAAATTTCTCACACACTGACAAGCTGTGATTTATCTCCACCGCTCCAGTTGGCACACATGAATTCTTTTCATGCCGTCAGTCCGCACAGTTTGACACACTCCACGCTCAGCTCATCGCAGATCCGCTTTCCACGGTCCCACACAGGCTGAAATACACTATGGTGATCTTATTTGACAAGTCGTGGATGACCAAACTGCGAGGAAGTGAGAGGAGTTACTCTGAGACCGCAAAGTATTTGCAGCTATAGAATCTTTGTGAATGTGCTTGCTGCCAGAGAAAATGAGCTGGCCTTCAGTGCAGCTCGACACGTAGCAGGAGGCTGCCGAGCTGCTGGTTCCCTATATTTGCTCTATAGGCGCTGTGAAGCATCCACTTCATACATGAGGGCAAGAAGCAGGAGAAAGCGTGTGCCCTCTGTGCACTTTATACCAAGCCTTATAAATGGTGAGAGGTCAGGTAAAGGAATGCATCTTACTTCTAACAGCAAAGAAAAAAAAAGAGAGAGAGTTCCCTGGTAGCAGAAACGGAATGAAAAATAGACAGAGTTGATGGAGTTCATGTGTGGTTGCAGTGAAGGGAAGATTGATGATTTTTTTCTTTCCCCCCTTTTCTCCTCTTCTTTTGGAGTTGATGACTGCTGATGTCAAAGGCAGCAGTAGATCAGAGAATGGGAGACCTATCTCTGCGCTCTTTCATCCCCAATGCTTTCCTGGAAAAGGGAACAGCTAGGGCCATATCTGCTCTCCCAGTGGCAGCAGTGTGCGTGTGCGTGTGTGTGTGTGTGTGTGTGTGTGGTGTTCGTGACAAATACTCACTAGGAAAAGACTCTGTCACTGCACTACTCTATTTCTTGAATAGCGAGGAGGAGTTTTAAACACAGTCAGTACTATTTTCTTTCCTTTGAACGGAAAGTTTGTCACGTCCAATCATTCGTTTGCTGGCCGACTAAGACTTGCTGTTGGACTGAATCAAGTTATTTTAGCAATTTATGTAAAAAAAAAAAAAAAAGAAGTTATATAAGTATTATTCACATTCAATCCCCGTCCACTGCACTGAATTTCAAAAGTATGTAACACATTCTGAATGCATTTATTCCATGGATAATATTCTTTGATTGATTTTAGTTTGGCTGTGGCATTGCAGAATTTATGAAATTCAAATTAAATCTCCGAGCCTGCTATTTCTTTTTTAAATACCTTTTCATTTAAATTTTGCCACTGACCTTTTAACTTTCCTCTAAACTACTTGAATTTTTCCCCCACTCCAAAATCAGTCAATATCACATTCCAACTCCTCCATTGACAAACTCTTTATTCTTTTGGGTCAAACTGCGGTGCACACTGTCTTTTCAGTTAATCGTCTTGGCTACAAAGATGTTCTGTGAAATACACTTCTGGGAATAACAGCCTTACATCTTGTTTTCTAAAATCTATCAAAATTCCCTATTTGGAAGTCTATTTTTAGTTCACTTTTCATAGCTTTGCATGTGAAGTGAAATTGGAGTGCTTAAGCACAAGCTTGATGTGTGACAGGAGAGTGATGATTCATTTTTAGAAAAGCTTAACAGATGAACTTGTGCCTTTACCTTCAAGAAATGCCAGATTTTGAGCTGCTTGTTTATTCCTAAGCTATTTGTAGCATAACGAGGAAGACTTTTCTATTAGAGCTTGGTAATAATGTGGTAATATTGAATTAAGGACACAAGAAGGTACTATAAGGAAACAGAATGTTATAACACTAAATTATGAAGTAATATCTAAATAATTACCAAATGACATCTTGCCTCAACAATGGTTATATCTAAGTAACATTGGATTTAACTATATTTAACTGTGCAATAAGGGCCAGAAAGTAGGCTTAATAATAATCAATAAAATTCAATTTAATTAAACTTTATTTAAATAGCACCAAACACAACAGCAATTACCTCAAGGTGCTTTATATTGTAAGGCAAAGATCCTACAATTATACAAAGAACACTTCAACAATTAAACTTTGCCGAAGCACTTGACGACAATAGGAAGAAGAAAAAAAGGCTCATTTAACAGGAAGAAACCTCTGGCAGAAGCAGCCATCTGCCATGACCGGTTGGGGGTGACGGAAGGAAGGAAAACAGGCCTGGAAGAGAGCCAGAGATTAATAGTAACTAATGATTAAATGCAGAGTGGTGTGTAAGCACACAGTGATTACAAAAGGTGAGTGAAGAAGAAACACTCAATGCATCATGGGAAGGCCCTCAGCAGCCTAGACCTATCGCAGCACATCAGGTTACGACCACTTGAAAGTCAGTATATTTAAAAACAAGCCAACAAACAAACACACAAGAAACCCCCAGCTAGACATATATAACCACAATAGCCACTGTCGATACAAGCTATTACACTACTTGGTTATTAGTACTTTGTAACTAAGTGGTAATAACACATTATTTCATTATTATTACCTTCTGTCCATCTGATTACCAAGCTGTCATAGAAAGGGCTACCCATAAAGATTTTATTCTCGTCCAAATGATTTATTTCCTTTTAAAAAAAAAATATGGAGAGTTTCTTAAGCACAAATACATAAATATGCACTGGAGACAAGCAGGGTATCTTCCTCAGTGGCAAATATTTTCTAAGCTTTGAAATATGAAAGGTTTTAAACCTGCATAAACAGTAAAAGACTCTTTGCTGACTTACGGGGCAGCTGAAATGAGCTGTGAAATTGTGCCCCATTTCCAGTTGATATCATAAACCTTTAGTAAACAGTTGCATTTTATACCTCCTGCTGATACAGAGCAGCAGTGTCAGTCAATGCTGCGACGAGGGGGGTGAGACTGAACCAAAAGAGTACAGTTGCTCCGTTTTGCTGTTTTACTGAGCTGAAACTCTCCATAAAGTTCCGCACAGCCGAGCGGAGTCGCACATTCACATGATAATTATTATGACTGACCTCTGAATTTACACAGGGTTTGTGATTGTTATTTGTGATGTTATTATGTCTGCTTTACAAGTAAATGTGATAATAGAGTGGCAAGGAAGACATGTTACGGTGAAATCCATGTAGTATGAGTACAATTGACAAACAGCAGCTAAGATAGTAGAATAAATGCCAGACTACTTTATGATGAGCTGTCTGTACACATCCATGGCAAGGTATTTATTTGTGGTCACAGAAGACAGGTCGGTGGTGCTCCGTTTGCACTTTTGACTTCTCCATCCACCCTTTATTTGAGCCACTTTATTAGGTAGATTTTTTCTAGTACCAGTTGGATCCCCTTTGCTTACAGAACTCCCTCAATTCTTTGTGGCAACAGAATGCTTGAAACAGTCAGTGCCATGATAGCATCACACAGTTGCTGCAGATTTGTCCCCTGCACACCCGTGTTGTGAATCTCTTGTTCTTCTCCCCTGTTGGATTTAGGTCTGGTGACTGTGGAGGCTATTTGAGTACAGTGAAGTCATTGTCATGTTCGAGAAACCAGTTTGAGATGATTAGAGTTTTGTGCCATGGTACATTATCCTGCTGCAGGCAGCCATCAACATATAGATACACTGTGGTTATAAAGGGGTGGACACAGTAAGCAACAACACTCATGTAGGCTGTGGTGTTTAAACAGTGCTCAGTTGGCCTGAGCCAAGGAAATAGTCAACACACTATTACACCACCTCCAGCAGCCTGAAGTGTTGATTCAAGATGGATTGATGCTTTCATGTTGTTTAGACCAAATTCTGACCCTACTATCCGAATGCTGCAGCAGAAACCTTTCCCATGTTATCTAGTTTAGTTTAAAGCTCCTAAACGACCAGAGTGGCACCTAAGTGTGATCTTCTGCTGCTGTAGCCCATTAATGCTTCAGTGCTTCAACTCTTCTGCATATCTTGGTTGTAATGAGTGGTTATTTAAGTTGCTGTTGCCTTCAAGCAGTGAGAACTGCTGCTTCCAGGATATCTTCTATTTTTTTAGACCATTCTCTGTTAACCCTGGAGATAGTTGTGTGGGAAAAAATCCACTAGATCAGTAGTTCTGCAGATACTCAGATAAGCCCATCTGGCACCATCAACTATGTTCAAAGTCACTTTAATCGCCCCCTCCTCTTTTTAAATTTAGCTTGGACTTTAACAGGTCATCTTGACCATGTCTACAATCCTCAGTGTATTTAGTTGCTGCCAGATGATTGGCTAATTAGGTATTTGCACTAATGTGCAATTGAATAGGTGTACCTAATGAAGTGGTCCCTGAATGTATGGGTAGCATTCGTAAAATCATTCGTGGAGATATTTCCCACATCTCTTAACTTTTGATCTCTGTGATATATCAGATATTTTCTGGCTCAAATGATTTATAAGTCAAAGATCTTTTTCTGACTCTGAAACAGAACTATTCCTGAAAATCCCTTTATGATGGAAGCAAAACGAGGCTGGCATCAAGTGGAAGCAAAGATCAAGGAGGAAAAAATATGAAATGATGGCTCATAGTTCTGGCAGATTGCATTCAATTTAAAA